TTCGCGCTCTACTGGATTCGGGTTCACAACGCAGTGTGGCCTCCACTTGGTTGGTGGGAAGACTAGGGCTCCCCTGGAGCTCTGAATCACGTCCAATGGTAGGTATTGGGGTTGCTAAGCCTCTTGCTCCTAGGGGACAAGCGGAGTTGGTGTTTGGCCCTACCAGCGAACACCTTCACATTCTAGTTAGAGTAAATGTCCTCGATGACATTGTAGGTTTTTCTCCCGAACATCCGTATAAATGACAGCGCGGTTCGTTGTGCGTCGGGTTCGAGACCGGCAGACCCTCAATGGTCCCAACTTGGGCCTATAGATTTGTTGCTGGGTGCCGACGCGCTGGGGTTGATCTTGTAAGGCGAGGTACGAGCACTACAGCCCTATGGCTTGTCAGCCATGTCCACTGTATTTGGGCACAGCTTCTTTGGACCGGTTCTGTGGTCTCCACCTCCTCAGACGGCCGACACGCTCTCTGTTGTGGGCGTCTACCTTTCGGAAGTCGTCCAGAGGTTCTGGGAAATTGAGGAGCCACCACAAGCGGCTCGAGTCAACCCTCTGGACCGTGAGTGCGAGTTGTTCTACCAGAACAATACCGGCCGTCGTGTCGACGGTCGTTTTGTCACTCGCTTACCCTTTCTGGACTCTCGGCCCCCTTTGGGTCAATCTCTTGCGCTGGCCGAGAAGAGGTTGCTTTCCATGGAGCGCCGTATGCGGCGCGACCCAGCCTTTCGCGACAAATATATCGAGTTCATGCGCGAGTATCAAGAGCTGGGTCAGATCTCACCGTCCAACTTCGACTGGCGGTCACAGGAGCACTACTTCCTCCCTCACCGTGCGGTCTTGAGGACCCCTGGGAGTAAGATTCGGGTAGTTTTTGACGGCTCCGCCCCCTCGTCAAATGGTGTGTCCCTGAATGTGTCCCAGTGTCTCCACTCTGGTCCTAAATTGATCAAGGACATATCCGACATTTTGACCCACTTCCGTCGGCACCAAGTGGTTTTTGTAGCCGACATTCGGATGATGTTTCGACAATCAGTGGTCCATCGTGATGACCGTCGATATCAGCTGATATTGTGGCGCGAGAAGCCCAGCGATCCGATACAGGTGTTTGAGTTGAACACTACCACCTATGGACTCCGGTCCAGCCCGTATATCGCCATGCGAACCCTCCTCGAACTAGCTGAGAGAGAGCGTCTAAAATACCCTCGGGGAGCTTCTATTTTGGAGACTTCGGTCTACATGGACGACATTTGCACGGGCGCCTCCACCGTCGAGGAGGCTCTTGTATTGCGAGACGAATTGATTGCCATCCTGAAGTCCGGAGGTTATGAGTCGCGCAAATGGTTGTCGAACTCCCTTCATATTTTGAAGGACCTCCCAGGAGAGGATCAAAAAGACCCTCATCTATTCGAGCACCCTGAAAATCCTAATTTGTTGACTGTGCTGGGCATTCAATATCAGCCTGTTCAGGACACTTTTACGTATCGAGTCAAACTCGATCCCCCTCCTAAATCATGGACCAAGCGCTCCGTGCTGTCACGTACAGTAGCCCGCACCTTCGATCCTAATGGATGGATCACTCCGGTCATTTTTTTTGGCTAAGTGCTTTCTTCTAAAGCTCTGGATATCCGGATTGGGTTGGCACGAGCCTACTAGCGAAGCTCTCTTGCGAGAGTGGCACTCCATTGAGTCCTCCCTTCCGGACATCAACCGTGTCTCCATGCCGAGGTGCTTCCTCCCGTCAGGGAGATGCAGGGCTACCCTACATGGGTTTTGCGACGCCTCTGAGAAAGGCTATGCTACTGTCGTATATTGGCGGACTGTGAGCCCTTCTGGCCATACTTCCGTCCATCTCGTACTTGCTAAAAGCAAGGTTGCTCCCATTAGGTCCCGCATAACAATCCCTAAATTGGAACTGTCCGGAGCCTCTCTTCTCATGCGACTCCTCATTCACGTTTACTCGTCTTTAGAGTCTGTAATCGACATTACGGCCGTCTACGCTTGGTCGGACAGTGAGATAGTACTTTGTTGGCTCAAAGCTGCACCTCACAATCTTGAGGTCTTTGTGGCGAACCGCGTGTCTCTAATCCATAATTCTGAGACGTCTCTAAACTGGAGACATGTCCCAGGGGAGTTGAATCCCGCAGACTGCGCTTCTCGCGGCTGTGAAGCCCCCTCGTTGGTTGACCACCCGCTGTGGTGGGGTCCCAGTTGATTGACTGAATCTCAGTCATTCTGACCCCAGAATAAATACTCCGAACCGATTGAATTGCCTGGCCTACGAGCCCGAGTAGGAGTGGGCAAGGATAAGCCCACTCGGGATTTCTCCCTGCTAGAACGATACAGCTCTCTCGATAAGCTCTTAGGAGTGACTGCCTGGTTGCGTCGATTTGTCCGCAATTCGAGAGACCCGTCCAACCGTTTTGTCCCCTAGCGAGCGTCGCGAAGCTTTGATGCATTGCACCTGTATGGTCCAAGCGGAGCATTTTGAGCCCGTGATTGAAAACCTGAAGCGTGGCTCCGTTGTCAAGGGCGCTCTGAACCTCTTCCTGGACGACGCTGGGATGCTGCGCGTGTGCGGCCGATGGCTTGTGCGATGGCATCACTACTAACTACAAATTACTATTAAATTAAATTAAATACAAATTACACTACACGGCAAGTACACACTACAGTCGGTCAGCAAGATGCCTCGCCCAGGCGACTGACCCTTCGGCAATTTAATCTACCTACCCGAAATACCTGACGCGTAGGTACCTAACCCTAAACTACACTCCTGCTTGCGCAGCCTAACGGGCGTGGTTCTAATTCTGCCCACCGATCCGCTAACAAAACACAAAAAATATTTATTTTTTTATTACGGCCGCCCGTGATTGGAGAAACAATCAACCACGCTCTGCTACCAGAAAATGTTACGGCCCTCAGTTGCCCCGACAGAAGTCGACTGGACCAGGGTCCATGAGTAATCTCGACGAGCAACCAGAGGGTTCGGGCCCAAATGGCCTATGGATTGTTATTAACTAATGGCTGATAAGCAACACAAACTTACCGAGTTCCGGAGGTAGGGTTGACCACAGGGTATCAGTCAGGTGGTAAGTAAGGTGTATGTAAGTAGTATGCGAAAGTGTGTATAAATGTAACCTGACGTCACCGATGTAATCGGACAGCAGACCCACAGGCGCTGCTTTTCTCCACAATGTGTGATCCCTCCAGTGGGCGTTCGCCAATTGAAACCTGCCTTTATTTCACTATATTAGTTTATCAATTTTATTAAACATTTAATTAACTTCAAATTTAACTGAATCAACGTTAATCGAACTTAAAAACAAGTGACACACTGCACAACTTAAGAACTGTCGGTCAAAGTTCAATGTCCCATGTTCACTTAGCACCAAATTATCATCGAGCACAAACGCGATCTACTTTCGAGTCACAAAGTTTTAGCGTTCCACCCGACAAAGCAAAAATTCCTTCGTACGATATTAAAATGCCACAAAAGCAACTCGTCCACGCAAATTAATGGTAATGGAAGTTAAGTTAATCACTCAAAACTATTACAACAAGAATTATAATAAGACAAGCCTCGTTGTCACGTAAAACGCATGAGATTAGACAACGCTATTCAGAGGCGGTTCCGAGCGTAAATTTTAGAGCATCTAACCGACATGGCGGTCGCGAACAATTACCACGTCAGGCGACCGAGCCGTCAGCCGAGAGCCGCTCCAGCGAGCGGCTCTCAGCTGACGGCTCGGCTGACGGCTCGGCTGGGGCCGGCGGTGACCTTTAAATTGCATCGGAAGGACACGCCGAGACGCGCGTCTTGAATGCAAGTTTTTAAAATGTTAATATTTGGCCTAAACACAAGTCATATTGTAATACAATCTTCAATAGAACGAACTGCCCGGTATATTTTTTTATCATCTGCATATAATAGGTGATTAGAATGAAAAAAAAAACAGTTGGCAATCAAAGATGTACGTATTGTAGAATAGCGGGCAAAGGTGCGATCCCTGTTGGACAACCGAGGGAACAGTTACATAATCGGATCTGTATCTACCCAGCGCTACAACCTGAGAGCGATTAGAAAGATCTCACCCACCGGAGTAGGTCTCCTTGAAGTCCAAGCAAATAGAGCTTGTGGAGCAGAAGGTCGTGGTCTACACGACCGAAGTTCTATGTTTTAGTAAGTCTCATGTCGGTAACAATGTATGTTTTTTCTTAGTTCAAAATTGCCGACAATCTGGTTTACAGTTTGGCAAAATTTGAAATGTAACTAATGTAACACACTTTATAAGAATGAATTAAAAAAAATTGCCGCGGGTTCGAATCCCGCACGGAACTAGTATTTGTATGGCCTACAAATAATTGTTCCGGATCTGGATGTTTGTCCTTGTGCAATTTATGTTTGTAAATTGCCTCCACGACACAGGAGAAAATCCTAGTGTGGGGGTAACGTTTTTTAAAAAAAGAATAAAAAGAAAAAAATATGTATGTAAACTAAGCGTGTAGTGGTAGTGTAAGAGTATCCACTACATAATATCATTCTTTGGGTGTAGTAAGAGGCGACACAGGGAAACAACAGGGAGATGGGCAGTAGCGTATTTATGATAACATCTAAAAGTAAAAAAACTGCGCCAAATCGTTTTCCCAGCTTAGAAACTATGGCAAACATCCCTCTTATGTGGCAATCTGTGGAGGAGACATATTCAGCAGTGACTTTATGATGTATAGTATAGATGTAATGATGGTATATTTACAGGTAAATATTACTTGTTAATAATTACGACAAATATTTCTTATTGGGTGATGCACGTTTCCATACCAAGCACTCATCGAACATCGTCCCGTGCCTGCAACGTTATTAAAAACTTACCATATTGGGGGACGCGTGTTGAGATAAGGATGACGGTGATTGTATGCGACATGTGGAGACTAGCTATGTGTTAGTTGGTGTGGTGATGGCGATGTGTGCAGCGAGTGAGGAGGTGGTGCGTGCGTTGCAGTGCTGGGCGCGGAGGGGCGCGGCGAGGCGGGCGCGCGGCTGGGCGGCGCGGTGGCGCGCGCGCTGGCGCTGCTGCTGGAGCGCTCGCCGCGCGCCAAGCTGCACGACGACCACCCGCTGTTCTGCCGCCTGCTCGACACGCTGCTGCGAGGTTACTCTCACTCTCTTCATACCTCATGTTTGCTATTTTACCAACCGTCTCGCTAATTAATATCTCTTCTTTTGCTAAAACTTAAAAAAGTTAAACGTGTACTAAGATCACACAGAAGAAGACACTTAGGGGATGATAAACTGAAAACGCTTAATAAGTATGCTAAAAATATATTGCAGATAACTTTACAAAATAAAAGGTTATAACTAATAATAGTGAGCACACATCGCGCTCTTAATGACTATTCGCTAACTGATTTTAAATAGTGTATTTCATTACGAGTGCGGAAAGCCTGTCATTGCAGAGTTCCCACAAATGTGTACCCGAGCCGAGGCGCAGCCGAAGGTGAGGGTTGACAGTCGGAACAAGTTGCAATGACGGTTCCGCACGTGTACTGAACAACTATTTTTAATACAGTTGCGAAAAAATGAGGCAATTTAATAAAAAACATTTTTGGAAAATGGCGCCAACCGTAAAAGAATATAAGCAGAGATTTTTTTCGTTTTCTTCACCTATTCTGAGTAGGCAAAGGGAACTATGCCCATACAGCCAAGTCTTCAGTAGAATTTTTTTTATTGATATGAAATGAAAATTAAATTTAATTAGATGAAATGAAATGAAACCTAACCTAACTTATTGAATCAAATCATTAAATCTGATATTGAAATAATATTTGCATGAATCATAAAAACTTCTTTGAATTTTTTTTAGTAAAAACATCGTGGTTAGTTTTTTATTTTTAATAGAATTATTTTGACAGATGAGAAAGAGAACGCACGAGTTCGGAAAAGGTAAAAAAAAAAGCACGAGTATGTAATAACCCACATCCCGAACGCTATACGTCCCTGCAATACGCCACTTTTTGAGCAACTGTATTAAAAATACATTTACCGCAGAAATATGCCAAAGGTCAAGTTGTGAAATGATTACTTGACAATTGTACGTTGTATTGCACGCTGCGTACATCTGGATCCTTCTACAAATAACATAATCATCATTGCTTAAACAAAATTAAAGGCTTGTTCAAATACTTTTAAATTCCATAGAGTACTGCCAAAAGATATCGTTAAATATTTTAAAACTATTGATGTTAAGAAAACGGCAGACTTATGGGGATTTCCGTTAAAGTTATTTTATCTATAATAGATATAATAGCACCGTATCTAGCCACTATATTTAATACAAGCGTCGAATCTGGTGTGTTTCCTGATTTAATGAAACATAGTAAAGTCATACCTATATTTAAATCTGGTAGTACATTAGACCCCGCCAATTTTAGACCAATTTCTGTACTACCAACATTAAGTAAAATTTTTGAAAATGTTATTTTAGATCAGACGTTAAGTTTCTTTAATATTAATAAATTGCTACATAAAAATCAATTCGGTTTTACAAGGGGTCGCTCGACAACTGACGCTGGAGTTGAGCTTATTAAACATATTTTTGTACATCGGAGAATTCAGAGGATGCTTTGGATATATTTTGTGACCTTTCCAAGGCCTTCGACTGTGTTCACCATGAGATATTAATCAGGAAGCTACAGTACTATGGTGTCAAGAACACAGCGCTTAAACTTATTATTTCATATTTAAGTAATAGAATGCAGAAGTTATTATCAATCGTAAAAGTTCTTCCGGGTCACCTGTACTAATGGGTGTCCGTCAGGGCTCCATTCTCGGCCCATTTCTATTTCTAGTGTATATTAATGACTTACCTCACCTTGTAGGGGATAATCATGTAATAGTATTATTTACTTCCTTGATTTTTAAACTTAAACGTCAATCATTTAAATATGACGAAGTGAATAATGCTACATTAAAATTAGTGCATTGGTTTAACGTTAATATTCTACATTTAAACGGAAATAAAACAAAATGTATTAAATTTACATCAACGAATGTTAAAGATCTGAGTACCAATGTGTTTTTTAAATGGGAAAGAACTGAGCCCTGTTGAATCCAATGTTTTTCTTGGCATCACTCTCGACGCAAAGCTTCAGTGGGGCCCCCATATGTCCAAACTAGCAAGCAGACTAAGTTCTAAATGTTAACTACACCAACAATTAAATTAGTAGCAGCGGTCAATTAAAACTACACACTTATAGAAAGAATTTTCAACGCTCAACTTTAAAACACTAGAAAATAATGAAGCAATTTTTTATCATTGTTTATACATGTTAGTACTGCGTATTTCCTCCTCCAGCTCCAATAACTGCATGTATTTGGTCTGGAATGCTCTGGATGATGTTTTTAACTTGGACTTGCGGTGTGGTTGTTCAAGCGGCTAATGCTGTATTTCGGAGATGATCATGAGTTTGTAGTGGGCTAGGAGAGGATTTAATATTTCTTTTAATCATGCCCCAGATATGTTCGATTGGATTCAAGTCTGGACTACAAGTTGGTAACTCCAATTTTTAATACCGACCTCTTGAAATTATTCATTCACGCAAAGCGCTAAATGTGGGCGTGCATTGTCGTGCATTACAAGAAACTCATCGTGTACAATGAACCCCGAATAAAACAAAACATTATCATGTAGAATATCTTCAATGTATTGAGCAGCAGTTAACCGGTTGTTAACGATAACCAACTCTGTACGAGCGTCGGCACTTATTCCTCCCAACACCATTTCTTTCGTAAAAACTCACTGTTTGTGTAGTGGTACTGGGTAGAAACCATTCTTCTTTTTCTGTCGACTTCCAAAAAGGAGACGGTACTCAATTCGACGCGTATCTTTTTTTTTATATGTGTGTTACCTCAATACTTTTACTGGGTGGACCGATTTCGATGATTATTTTTTTAATATGAAAGCTGATACTTGTCGTGTGGTCTCATATGAATTTAATCAAGGTTAGACCAATCGTTTTTGAGTTATTCTTAAATAACTTATATTGAAGTCGAATGTACAAAATTTTTAATTTTTAATTATATCCAATTTATATCCTCATCTAACGCCACATCCAGAAATTTTGAATATGTCACACATTCCTTAAGTTACTAGTATGATTTGTATTAATAATTTGTATCAATAGTTTTTGAGTTATTTGAGTTATTCTTAATAACTTATATTGAAGTCGGCTGTACAAAATTTTTAATTTTAAATTTATTTCTCTATTCTCGTTCTTGACCGTCTGGTACATGTAATGCAATCTTATACTCGTCTGTGACATTCCTTGGGGGAGGCCTATGTTCAGCAGTGGACTTGTGAAGGGCTGTAATGATGATGATGAAGATGACTCGTCTGTGAAGAAAAATTTAGGCCACTGCTCGTGAGTCCAGTTTGCGTGTTCTCAGGCAAAACGAAGTTTTGCTACTCGGTGCAGTCTGAGAAGCTCTAGGGTGCGTGCTGGTCTACGTGCTGTTAAATCCACTTTCTTCATGCATCTTCTCACCGTCCTATCGCTAACATTATTTATTATTAACTCCTCGTGATTTGGGGCCGCTGGTGAATTTCAACTGCGGTAAGTTAGCGATTTCGCAAACTTTCTAGACAATAAAGTGGTCGTCTCAGCCTGATATTCATCTTACACCTCCGTTATCTGATCTGCATGTGTAGCTGCCAGTCTCCTGATATCGTCTCAGAGCATACTACATTGAAGAACGTGGTACAATAAGTGCTATGGCGACTTCACGTTGTGTCAACTCTTGATCGATTAATGCTACGGCTTTTGCAACCTGAGCGGGTGTTAAGAGCATTTTTTGTAGTTTTATTGCACCTTTAAATATTGGACTAAACGCACAAAATCATAAAAGTTCAGTAACCGAACGGTACACTTTTCACAATAATCCTAAGTTCAAAAAATTCAAGGTAGTCGCTCAAATGACCCGATTCAACTAAAGCTTGAAAACATAGTGAATTACCCTCTTGAACTCGTCGTAAGCATTTTTTACCTACCTTACCAAAAAATCTCCGAGTCTCTCGATTTGTGCTTGTCTGTGGACACCATCTACACAGACTTCAGTAAGGCGTTTGACATTGTAGACCATAACATCTTACTTCACAAACTCAGCTTTGGGCATCACTGTCAATATTCTCGAATGGTTCTGTTCATACATACCTCGGGCAGAGAAAATCGAGGGTTGTGGTAAAATGGTTACTCTTCAAAACCATTTCTACCATGTTTGGCGGTCCTTAGGGTTCCCATCTCGGTCCAGTTTTCTTCAATATTTTCATAAACGACATTGCGTCTGTTTTTAATCACGCAACCTATTTTATGTATGCAGATGACATGAAATTGTCCTTGCAAATCAGAGATCACAGTGACCCACTCCTATTTTAACAGGATTTGGACCGGATGTGTTTGTGCTGTGTTAAGAACAGATTATTATTGTACCTTGATAAATGTAAAATTTTAAGATTCTCAACATTGGTCCAACCTCGAATACTGTAACCAGGTCTGATGTTCATTTTATAACGTTTTTTGACGTTAGAGCGCTTCCAAAAGCGTTTTTGGAATGGCATCATTCATACCAAATCTACAAAATAAAGGATCTATCCTCTTACGAGGACCGACTGACGTATTTTACATTAAGTAGCCTGCAGGAGCGGAGGCTTTTGCTGGATCTCTCGTTGCTACACAAAATCGTCAATGGAACCATACACGGTTCATATCTACTAATAAATTTCAATGTGCCATTCAAGGTAGCGCGTGTCAACCGATACGTTCCCTTCTCAGTTAAGCGCAGTGAAACTAATTTGGGTCACCACGCCACCATAAACAGGTTACAGGCGCAATATATAACAAGCTCTGCAAGGCAATTCATGTGTAAAATCTTGCAGTCCTTTGCAGTAAGCTAACATTTGGGTCTAGCTTAAAAATATTTATCAATAATAATTCAAATTTCTAGAATAATTATTTTGAGAAACATATTTGTAGTCCACATTACATGCCGTGGGCGACTTATAATTAAGACGACACTTAGACATAAACTTTCCTGTTCTTTCTAGTAACAATGTAAACATGTTTGTGTTCATGTATGTCTTTTTTACGACCATGGTAA